CGGATGGATGGACGGGAGCGTGAGACGTGGGTGGATGACGGACGGGTGGGGGCCGTGTGCTTTATCCTTTAGCGGTGGAACCTGCAGACCAGCCTCCTTATACTCCGCTCCTTCGTCTCCTTCCTGCAGGTCGTGGGCATTTTCGCCGGATTCGGGCTCCTGCTCCTGGTGGCGTCACCTCTCCTGCTCCTGGCCACTCCGTTTGTGCTCTGCTGCAGGTGCAAGTGCAGTAAGGGTGACGACGACCCGCTGCCCACCTAGAGGACGGCCGGACGCTGGACGAGAGCCCCGCCTCCGGGAAGCGCCCCCGCCCCCCCACTAAACATCTTTCTTGCCTTATGTGCCCCATTGAGCTTCACAGTGTCATGCGGGTGCCGTGACTTCAGGGACCGATGTCGGAAGGTTCGCCGAGGCCCCCCGGTGGAGCCGCCGAGGCGTGGGGAAGGCAGGGCCGGCGTGGGCGGGGACCGTCCCCAGGGAGCCGGCCTCTGCAGACTGGACGCGGGAGGTGCTGCGAGAAGCACTCTGGGCAGGGTCCTCCCTGTGGCGACAGACTCGGCACGTCCGGTGGTTGCCCGAGCGAACTTCCCACGCAGAACGCCGCCTCCTTGGCTCCCACGTGGCGCCGGGAGACGCCCTTTAGGAGCCGCTCACTTCCGACAGCATCTGATGACTCTGACTTGAGGAAAGCACTCTGTTTATGACGACCGTTTTTCTTACTAGTGGCAGTTAGTGAAATCCTTTCTAGAAGGCGTTTTTTTTCTTTTTCCAACTGAGAAGTGAAAACTCAACAAGGTGCATCTAAAACCATCCTATGCCTTTCTCGAAATGCGCATTTTCAGAAGTGATTGCTCTGGCTCGGCCGCTCTGCTCTCCGGGAGACTTAGAAAGCCTTACACGCCCTTGTGTTTTTCCTGAGACTCGTGACGACTGTTTGGACGCCGTACGCCGTGTGCCGCTGCGAACGTGATTCCCACACCGTTGCATTTCTCTGCAAACAGCGATCTGTTTAAAGGTGCATCAGCATCGTCAGATTTGCCTTTTGTTTTTTCTCTTCGGTGATTCGGTTCAGCTTATAGGCTTGTCTCTCTTCACCCAGGTATCAGCAGAGAGTTTTAATGTCTTCAGAAGCCAAATGTTTCGCTCGGACGTAGTTCTGCGGGGGGGTCACTATGGTCTGGCTGCTGGCCTCAGTCCCCCCCAGCAGACAGGAGGAAGCAGGCAGGCCGTGGCCCTCAGAGGCGGGCTCCCCGCGGGGCTCGGGAGGAGCCTCCTGGGTTTTCACGGCTTTTACGTAGCTAAGCTGTTTGATGAGCCGTGTATCTCACGGAGCTCCAAGTCCTTTTGCTAACCATCGTGCCCCCGGCCAAAGCCCACCCATCTCACGTGGTTATTTTGATTGGGGATTTTACCACTCTGTCTTTTAGGCTCTGTGTGACTGTTACCATGGCAGCAGAATGCACAGGCCAGTGAGACACATGTCACCCCATCGATTGATTGAAAAGTGGGAACGTGTTTTTTTTACAGAGCTGACTTTAATATGGCTTTTAACACTGTTTGCGCTTATAAAGAGCAAACCAATCGCATTGAACTTGGGACTTCTACGAATAGCGGGAAGGCAAATGTGGGTTTTTTACAGCAGAACTTTTTGAAACTTATTAAGCATTCCACAGAGGAGCAAAATGAAAACAGTCTGGCTTCTGACCCGGCCGTCCGCGTGTCGCGAGCACGTGTGGAAAGCGGGGTGGTGTTTGTGTCCTGACTCGTACGCGTGTGCTCATCTCAGGTCTGGGGTCACCTTCCCGTGGAGAAGTGGCTTCATTATTTCTCAACGATTAGTACGCGAGAAGAAACGGGGCCACCTCGCTCGTCACCTGCCGTCTTTATTTCCTTTATGAAGCAGAAGCCATGCCGGAAGCCAGTCTGTGTCAGACCTGTGTGGAATCGATGCTCCTCACAATGCTGGTTTAAAAATTCAGCAACTGGATAAGAGCACACGGGACCGTCTTTTGGGGTGAAGCTTGCGGGGTGAGTCTGTAGCTGGAGGTATTGCAGGAGGATCTGGGGTAGGACGGCTCTCAGAGGGGACAGTGCCATGAGGCCCGAGGATGAAGGGCGGCGGCCCAGGCTCCAAGCCCCTCCCCGGGTCTGTGAGTGCAGGCTTCCGGCCCGTGCCCAGCAGTTCCCCCGCCGTCCCTGGCCATCCTGTCCCCACCGGCTGCTGCCCCTCACACCCTGCACGACAGGGTGGGGTCGGGACCAGGGCCTCCGGGTGGGTCAGGTCGTCTGTCCACCCTGGACGAGTCCGTGGCCAAACTCCGCACTCCCGTAGCCCCGGCCGGCCTGGGGCCCATCTCTCAAGCATGTCTGACCAGGGAGGGGTCCTGGAGGTCTGGGGCCAGAGCAGCACCGCACCGGCCTGCTCTGAGTGTCCGCTTCAGGCAGGCCTGGCTTGCGTAACAGCTAAATGTGTCCGTTCCCCAGAAAGGTACCGGCAGGATCGCTGTGAGGTCCTCAGCGGCCTCTGACGTCATTCGCTCAGGAGTGCCAAACCCGCTGTCCCTGCGGACGCGGTGTTAACCAGGCTGGGGTGACATGTACGTGGCATGCGGGGCGTGGCCCGCATTTCGGATTTCCACCTTGACGTCACCGCCTGGGAAACCTCGGGGAGCTGCACGCTCAGCGGGCGGACACGTCCCCGTTATTCAGCATACTTTGTCTTAATGGACCATTTTTACAGGCGGTTTTCATGCTGACCCTCTGGTTCATTCGAAGGCCTTTAAGTCCTGGGCAAGAGGGATGAAGCCCTCGGGGTGGACCGTGACCCACGCTGCCGCCGTCAGCTGGGGTGGTGATGGAGGGCACGGTGGACCCCCAGGTCATCTGAGTCCCCACGGATGCTGACCACGTTGCGAGGGTTTTCTGGGCATCCCTGATCCCTCAGGCGGGCCCTGCCATGTGTCCTGTAGCCCGGCCAGCCGAGCTGTGCCACCGTCACAGGAGGCCAGTGCCTCTGAGAAGGACTCGCTGTGGCAGCACGTGTGGCGGAGGTGGCTGAGCATCTGGGCCTAGGCGAACCTGCGATCACACGCATTTGGGTCCCCCCAGTTTCCCTCGAGCCCCGGGAGTAGCAGCCGACGGAGGCGCCAACACCCGCACTTCCGCACCTTTAAAGGGGGACAAATTCTCTTTACAACACGTGACCCAGTAAAACTGACTTAGAAACCAGCCTGATTCCTGATTCGAATTCCAGGCCCATGGGAAAGGAATGATCAGATACGCAAGAAATACTTCAAGATGAGTTCATCGTTTCCAGCTGTGTCACGAGAGTTCAAAGGTAGTTCACAGACTAGAACAGGACGCTTCCCCTTGGTGGTCTTTACAAAATTAGGGGATTAGAAAGAACCAGGGTGAGCTTTTTGTATATTTCTCCAATTCTCATGTATTAGGAAATACCCCCTGTATATATTTATATATGAATCATCATGAAATCAAGGAGAGCGTTTTGCATGTGGAGAAGCCTCACGAAGGTCTCATCGAAGAATACCAAAGCTTGTTTATTCCTCGTAACTGCCCCAAGCCCTTAGAAAAATAAACAGAATGAAGAGATTGTGGCTGATTTTGCCAAAAGTACCAAACGGAACGGAGGGGCCTGCATTGGCCTTGACGTGCTGGCATCGGAGCTGGGGCGGGGTGGGGCGGGCTGTCTGGGCGCTGAGAGCCGGGGGTCCCCGCCCGCCCCCCGCCTGTGCGGGGCTGTCTCCCAGGAGTCCAGGAGCCTCCTGCTGGGGGGCGGGAGCGGCGCCTACGTCTGACTTTTCTTTCCTTCCTTGCTCGTTTGCCGTGGGTGTATTTTAATCTCGTGTAAAAACGCGCATGAGTGAGTCATGCCCTTGTGTACGCCGCTCGTCTCTGGAACGCGCTGCGTCTGACGCCACGGACACTGTGATGTGTAGAAGAGCTGTCCGAACGCCTTTCGACTCGTGCTTTGTGCTTTGGAGTCACGTGGAAAAGTGCGATTTGTCGTTTCAATACGTATTTTTAAATGTATCGTGTCCTAGGTAGCTTGTGCCCCCTTCAGAAGGGGTTTCTTTTTTGAAGATATTTTGGCTGAAATACAGGTTTCTTTTGTAAAAATCCTGCCTGGCTGCATGTTTTGTGCGTTCTGAGCTGGGTGCGGGCGGGGGGCGGGGGCTGGAAACCGGTGAGGGTGGAGGCGGGGAGGGGAGGGCGGTGGGGTGGGCGGCGTCTGCTCTGCAGGGGACAGCGGCTTTCCTGCCCCGCCACCCCACCCCCGGGCTTCCTCCCAGGATGTTCACCGGAGGGACCTGGGTCACGGGGGACTGGGCCCCTGTCGTCCCCAGCACCAGCCCAGAACGCAGCAGCCACTGCGTCTCTGCCGTGGGACTCCGCCTCCCTCCGCGAAGACAGGTACTTGAGCACCCGCCCAAGTTGATGGGGATTTTCTTGTCATAAAAACCAGGGGACTTTTTTTTTTTTCTCCTGGGAAAACAATAAATGTGGATGCTTCTCGTTTAATAGGTGAAACGAGAGTAACTAAGATTTCAGTACCGACCTCGGTCTAAACTTCCTGGAAGAATTGGCAGCTCATTCATTAGCATGAAATGCAAGTCTAGGAAAAGGTGAAAGTTCAAAACCGCAGAGCTTTGAGGTGCGGGTTGAAGGAGGCGTATTTTGTTACCGGGCGTTCATCCTGCGTGGCTGCACTCTGGAGCCCTCGGTCTGCGGGGAAGCCGACCAGTCAGTCAGCCAGCAGGATAAAGTGGCCCAGGGCAGGCACAGCGTCTTGCTGGGAGCCAGGTCACGGGAGGCTGTGGGGGTCCGCAGATGAGTGGGCGTCAGCCAGGCAAAGACAAGGATGAGAGTGTTCAGGAAATGGCCCAGTCCAGCAAGTGCCAGGAGCTGGGTGTGGCCAGCACATCAGAAGGAGTGTCACCGAGTGTCTGACCTGGGGGAGGACGGAGGGCAGGGTGCACGGTGAGAAACTCGGCCTGGACCATTGCACTAAAGCTGTGGGGGGGGGCGGGGTGCTAGCTGCTGCAGCAGAGCACTAGAATGGGGGCGTAAGCAGCCATCTCCCATGTCACACCGGTGGTTCTGGAAACTCGGAGCCCAAGATGAAAATCAGCAAGGCGGTTTCTTCTGAGGTGGGTGATTTCCTGGGCATGTGACAGCCCGGGCCGTCTGTTTCCTCATTTGAAAATGAGGGGGACAAATACTTCACGGAGTCTTTCTCAGGACAAATGAGGAAATGCACGTGAATCGGAGCGTGCGTGGCGATGCCGTCAGTGAGTCGCAGCCGCGGTGTGGACGACGGCTCCGTGGGGGGCGGGGGTGGCCGCCCACCTGCATGGCCAGGACGCCGAGGGCCCCACGCACCTCGGCTTTCATTCCAGGACCCCTGAACGGTCAGGCTCTGACCGCTGTGCCTCCTGCATCACAGCTCAGGTGCCCAGGGATTCTGGGTAGCAGAAAAATGGAGCACGATCGCCCCCATGGGAAAATCAGAAGTCACTCAGCTCCCTAAGACATTTTCGGGGACACGAGAATGAGGTGCGGTTGTGGCGAGTCTGTTTCTCTACCCTGCACAAGTGCTGGTTCATTATTGGGGCGCAATGAGCGCTAAGTGCGATTTAATGTTCATACTAATGACAAAAGAGCGATCTGCATGTTAATGCAGCTCACAGATGATGGCAGACTGGGAGCTGTCAGAACACCAATTAGGAGAAGCAGACAACGGACAGGGGCAAAACAAAGGGGAAGTTACAACAAAGCAAACTCGTTTTTTGCAAAAATGCAAACAAATGCACCTGCAGAAACCGAGCCGAACTGCAGGGTGTGGGTCGCCCAGAGGGTGGGCTGAGGGGCCAGCAGGGGCAGCGGCTCAGGCACAGGGTGATTCGGAAGCGTCTGGGGGTGAAATGGGGCCGTCTTCAGGGAAAAGCACAATAACCCCTGCTTTCCACGAGAACACACGTTTCGGAGTGACGGTCTCGTTTTGGTGGACGTTTGGAAGGGAGAGGGGACTTCACACTAAGAGGGTGTCCTGGGGGTGAATTCGCCAGCGTGTGGGGTGGCTCTGCACAGCACCTGGGCCACGGCCTCCAGGTCCCTCTGGGGACCAGCTTCCCCGGCGCCCTGATCCCACGCCCCTCCCACCCCCATACTCCAGGAGAATGCCGCCTTTTCCGTCCTTGACACTATATTATCTTTTCATGTTTCGGGGGGATTTTTAACTTCTCAGTAATTAGAAGTTGAGCCCCACACTGCTCCTTTTCTAAGCCATTCACGTTCCGAGACATCAGTGTGAATTCTTCGTGCCCCTCTGGGGAAACCAGGGAACTCTGGTTCCCCGGGGAAGCAAGGGGACTTGGTTCTCTCTTCTGACCTCACTGGGGCCTCGTGACCCCACGTGCCAAGACTCCAAAGAAGCAGTGATCTCTAAGGAAGATTCCAGGGGGGTCGCCCCAGGGAGAAGGGCACTCAGGCATCACCTGTTTTTACATATGAGGAGCCCGGAGCCCAGAGCCCGAGGGGCGGACTGCAGTGCCCACGGCTCCCAGGTCTTCTCAGCAGCTCCTGCCTCCCTGTCCTGACACCCCACAAGGACCATGCACCTGCCTCGGGCCCTGCCCTCACCTCCACGGCCAGCGGGGTGCAGAGACCAGAGGGGGACACCTGCCAGCAGCGCCATGGGGAGTGGAGGACAGCGCCCCCCAGGAGCTGAGAGCCGTGGAGGGGACAGGTCTGGGGGGCTTCAGGGAGCAGGGCTCTGCCAGCAGTCGGGATCGGAGGGTAAGGGTGACCCCTGTGCAGCCCAGCAGAGCCTCGGAAGCACCAGTGAGCTTGGCAGACCTGAGGACAGAGCTTAGTGGGGGCAGACGGGTGGTGACGGGGCCGAGGGGGACATGTGCACGTGGACTGCCAGGCCGAGCGGGACCGGAAGACCTGGGCCGCGGTCGGAGGCGACGAGGCTGCTCCTGGGCTCTGCACAGCCTGGTGGCGAGGGGCGGGGAGCTTGGGGTGGAGGAGGGCGAAGGCCTGAGGTGAGTTAGGACACACGGGAACCACGTGTGGAGGCCGCCCTCGCAGTGGGCATCTGCGGAGCCACGAGGGGTTCCAGAGGGGTTACAGGGGACGTCGGGAGAAAGACGCCCACAGTCCACGGAGGCGAAGCGGCGGAGGCTGCTCCCCTGCCGCCGAGCCTGCGTGTGCCGCAGTGACTGTGGGCACCGGCGCTTCGCGCTCTGGGGGCTTGTGGAACTTCGTCCCCAAGAATCTGGGCCACCGGGAAAAGAAGTCCTGCTTCAGCCGTTGTCACCCAGCTGCTCGCCCCTCCATGGACCTTGCTGGGCCGAGCGCCACCTCCGTTAAAACGCCCAGTTCTTACTCACATCCCTCCCGTCCCTGGTCCAGCTTACCCGCCCACCACGCTTAGTCACAGTCACAGAGGTGCGGCACAGACGCCCCATTGCTCGGCGGCTGCGGCCAAGAAGCCGACAGGGGCGGTGGCAGTCTCCGCTGTCTCTACGAGTCAGGCGACGACGTCCGCATCGCCTCCCCCGGACACCGACCCAGGGAAAGGAAATCGCGGATGCTCCTGGCCGAGCGACCCCCGGGAACGGCCAAGGCGGTGACCGCTCTTACGTCGTCTTGGAAGGTGCCGCTCTCCACGAGGGGCTGACGGCCTCGCATTTTCTAATCGTCACGCAAACACCAGACGTCGCGACTGCCTCGCGCGCGTTTTGTTGGTCAGGAAACACGAGGCTGGCGGCCACCTGTCCGCGCTCAGGGTCAGTAAGGGCTCCGCGGAGTCGGGCGTGAGCGGCCTCCTCCCGACTCTGGCGACAGCTCTCCCCACGGCACTGCTCCGCCGTCCCCCTGCCCCCCGCGCCGTCC